CCCTAAACCCCAAACCCCAAACCAATTTAGGGTCCAACCCTGAGGCGAATTTAGGGTCCAGCCATGAGACGCTAACTTTTTCTTCGTAGCATGGCGCTGTTGCCCAGGGCCTCGTCCGTGACCAGAAGGGTTTAGGGTTTAGGGTTTAGGGTTTAGGGTTTAGGGTTTAGGGAGCAGTAGAAACAAGCAGCTTTCGTGTAATTAGCCCATGAAACAACTTGCACGAGCATGACATGCTCATGGGCGCTCCGCCATGTTGTGGCTGGCAGCGGGGTCTTTCTTCCTTAACTTTTCGTTGGCTTTGGCATGAATGTCATGAATGTCCGGCAGGTCTCAGCAATCTGCGGCTGCAGTTGGACATAGTATCCGAAGCTTTCACAAAGTTTCACAAAGTTGGACATAGTGTTCGAAGCATTCACAGATTTGCAATGGCCTTCGCCCCAACGCTTCGCTGTAGTATTGTACCTTTTGTAAGTTTAGGTACAAATGCAGCCATCTATACATTGACACGAACGAAGTCACCGATGTTGTTCGTGGAAATCTAAGCCGCAGTCAGCAGCAATGCTGCCTTTGGCTCGTCCGACGGACCATGGCGGTTTCGGTATTGCGGGGACGGCCAGCAGCGGAAGTCACGATTGGCAGCTTGCAGTTCATCTGGCACAGAACGCGCCAAGAAGTGGGAAGGAGAAAGCTTTGTGGGAAGCGATCGATGCTTGCAAAAGAGCCCGACAGTGGCAGGCGGCTCTCCGAATCTTGTCGAACATATCTTCGAGCAGCAAAGCTCCCAGCGTTTACTGCTTCAATGCCACGATAACGGCATGCGGGCGTGGATTCAAGTGGCGGCATGCGTTAGCATTGCTGACGGATATGGTAAGACTTCGAGCTCTGCCCACTGTAGTTAGCTATAGTGCAGGCATCAGTGCCTGTGAGAAAGGCGGCGAGTGGCAGATGGCGTTGTACTTGCTGTCGCAGATGCCTTTGGCCAGACTTGTGCCGGATCAGATCTTGTTTAATGCAGGCATCAGTGCGTGTGAGAAAGGTGGCGAGTGGCAGA